ACTCCTTGACGACGAGACGTAGTTGTGTGCCGCCGAGTAGACCGCAGAATGAGTTTCGAAGGTGATGGGTGGACTCCCAGCAAGGACTTGAATCATAGTCGGCTCGAAATCCGTCTTCCACGCCTCTTCTGCAGGCTCCGCGACGTAGAGACTGCGTTTGTAGGGCATCGATGAGGATGCGATTCGTTGGTCACCAGGGCGAGAGATGCAGAGCCAACGGAGGAACGGAGGGCGCGATGATACGGACACGAGTACCAATAGACCGCCTAGGCTCGTCGGGTGAGGTTGCGCAACCTGTGTGCTTCAAGCTGCAAATAGCAACGTGGTTCGGGACGGGCCGACCCGCGGTTCGGAGTTGATTCGGAGCCGAAGATACCGATGCCGCTGACAGCTGTCTTTCGCTTTTCTCTTTCCTTCATTCGAACTCTGGCTTCTGCCTCTGGCTCGTAACTCATATAATGAAGTATTTTCAGAAAAACCACTCGTGAACTATGTTGGATGAACTTCGCAGAGCCCGAAATGAAAGTTATGAAAGAAGGCAATTTACGCCATCCCCGAGTCAAGTCACTTTTTTCCACTGGGCGGCGCCGAACCTCGCTAGGCCCATTTTCCCAACAGCGCCATGATGCCGCATCCAAAAAGCATTGACCCAATCGCATACGCCAGCTTACCATTGCTACTATTGACCATCTCCTTGTTGAACAGAAATTCATGCGCCAAGAGCTGGAGAGATGGTATGAGTGCGCTTGCCTCAATTTCGTTCGCCTCCAACGCACCTCCACGAGCCCGGTGTACATGAGGATCCCCGCGCTGAGGGAATCGAGCACGCCGCTTACGATCGAGGCGGTTGCGCTGCCGGGGTTATAGGTGCTCCTGATACCCAACCCAACGGCGATTCCGATGGGGGTGCTGATGCCGTAGACGAGCGCCGCAGCAATGGGCACGAAGTTGTACCGCGGCGGGATCTTGATGAAAGCCAGTCGGGATCCCAGACCCAAGCCTTCGAATGTTTCTGCGCACGCGTCGGAAGGAATGAAATGCGCTTCACAACGGAGACGTACGATGGAATATGATGACGACAAAGAGGATCTTGAAGTCTTCGTCCACGGCGAGGGTCAAGCCAATCAAGACACTGCAAGGATTCAGTCGTGTTGAACCCGAGGAATAAGTGAACAGGAGAGGGCGAACCTGTGGAGGAGAAGTCCAAATTCTAAGATGGCTATACCAATGATCTGCGCCGCCGCCGGATCGTCCAGTTTCAGGTCTATGCTCTGCGCCTCCGGGTCATCGACAGCTTTGGCAGGGAAACTGTGTTCTGGACCATGCGCGGCGTGCGAACCAACTTCATGGCCGTGGGTGTCTGAAGGGGAGCGTTGAACGTCACTTGTAGTGTTCTGGACAACGAATCAACATACCGTGGGTGATATGGATCTTCTGCAATCGCGACGTTCCCCAGCGAAAGGCGATTAGCTCGAGGATGAATATCGACATGATGCTGAGGAGGCACAGGGCGAGGGCGTATGGCTGGGTACATCAGTGAGAGAAATTCCCCAGCATATCGCGGCGACTCACGTATTCGCTCCACCCAGGCGACAAGCAAACAGACGAGAGTTCATCAAGAGCCGGGGACAAGAGATGGATGAACGCAGTCGCTATCTGCGTCCAACGTTAGCATAACGAAAAATGGATAGATGGATGTCTACAATGACGCCGGACCCGAAGTATTTCGCGAAGCTATGCGCCCAAAGATCATTCAGAGCTTGTCAAACTCAAACTCGAAGATAACTCACTCGAACACAGATTTAGGGAGGTGAAGCCACGTCGACCGCTTGGCAAGGATGGGGAAGAGCGTCCCGCCCGTCGCGCAGACGAGGATCACAAACACCGAGGCGACACGGAGACCTGTAAAGGTATCGGGATTGTTGATATTGCCGCACTCGGAGTCGGAGTCAGACATGATAGACGCGGGAAAATGGATGTGGGGGTGGCGAGAACGAGAGCTTGGACGTGTTTTTAACGGACGACTGGGGAGGTTCTTCTCATGTTTAAAAATTAGGATAACCCGCGCAGTCGCCCTGATTTTGGAATTTACGACCGCGGAGGTTCTCTGATCCTCGCTCATAATTTAAGCAGCTAATGAACCACTCGCAATTATTTCGGAGAGCAAATTATTTCGGGGAGCAGACGGAAAGACATGATCAACGCGGTGATACGGACTAGTGATATCGACGAACAGGTGAACTAAATGGTGAGCTCGGGACCAAGCACTAGGTCCTCGCACAATTGGGTGGGCGTCCAGTCAGAGATGTCAATGACGATGTTCTCGATTGGGTCCAGGGTCTCCGCGGTGATGGTGGTGGTCGGCCGCTTCCACCCTTCCGCAATGGGCAGACGCTCTTCCCTGAAGAAAATCTGAACGAATCTACAGTATGAAGCATCAGAATCAATTCCAAACCGTATGGATCGCGTCATTCGCGCAGCACTCACTTCTTCGGTGCTACGCCGGTGAGTGGGTTTCCCATCACACTCAGGTAGAGCCCTGCTTCGCGCGCGCGCAAGAGGAACTCCTTCGGCGTATTGGTGATGTTCGGATTGGTCGCGAGAGAGATGGCGAGCCTGTCGTGCTGGACGCGCCCAGCAGAGGTGGCGTTGTAGTAATCCACACCGGGGTTGGCGTTCGCGAGTGTGCTGAAGATCGTCTCGTTGAGTGCAGGTTGTCGCCCAGTGCAAAGTCGCTGCGCGACACCGAGGCGTCGTGTTCGATGAGGTTGTGCCTGAGAATCAGATTCAGCTTCGGCCTCACTCTCAGACACCACCTACAGCTTAAGAGCATCGAGGTTCAAGGTCGTCGGATCGTCGCCAGAGAGGAGCCCGAACTTCGCTGCTTGAAGGATCGCGTCGGGGCCGACATTGAATCCGTCTGGAAATTTGAGTCATGAGAAAAGTCTGTAACCGGGCATGGTTATGGACGTCACCAATGGCAGCCTTCAGCATCATGGGGATGGAGATGTCTCTCCCATTCCGAGGAAGGTACCCGTGATTAGCCAGACTGCGAAATGAGCAAGCACCCCCAGTCGTAGGGCAGACTTTCAGCCCACTCACGTGTTGAGGCCCGGGCAAGGCGAACGCAGATCCGTGCTCTTGGGGGGCAATCCACTGGTGGCGGGGGTCACCAGAACTGGAGCCTGCGACACCCGAGATAGCTACAGCCGCGAGAAGAAGGGAAGAGATGAGCAGAGCCATTTGCTAGGAGTGGTGGTCTGCCTGGATTGTAGGTTTAATTTATACGAAACCATGGAGTTCAAAATTAGACCAACCTCGCCGGAAGGCTGCTGCGGCAGGTCATATGAAGTTGCCCTTCAGGAAATGCGACGGCACAATTTGACGGCCGGCGGGCTGATTCTTACCTGGGCTGTCAGAATTGAGTATTCAGTTGCCGCGCTCAACAAGGTAGTCTCTGAACCCTTCACGGCAAGCGAGAAGAACGAGCATATCGATCCGGGCCAGTCGCTGCGTTGCGGTCGAGGGCCTGAACCAATACTGGAGTTTCGAGTCGAATATCTAGAGACATAGGGCGTTGGCGTTTAAGATACATCAAAGAGCTGTAAGCAACAGCTTCAAAACCAAGTGGAGGTATGAGCGACGTAACCGTCGGATCTCGACAAGAACTGAAAGCCGATCTAAATCCCAAAGCCACAAGGTCGAAGGACATGAAACCTACGAGGATCAGTATTCTGCGTCTGGCAGTTCCAAAATTTCGCACACCCGAATCTGGAGTAGAGTCACTGAAGAAACGGTTAATCCTGTCGCAGTTCGTTGGCCTACTCGACTGCACCGACGTTGAAGGATCAAATAGTGGTTGACCTTGCCGCGACGTCGATGCACATCAGCTGCATGAGGAGCATCGTACCGCACAGCTCTGGCGAAATTCCCTCGGATACTGCGGCTGCGCTTCCAGCGACGTGCCTGTGTGTGCGTGAGGGCCGGGTAGCCGAGTTGGGAAACCCTTCAGGTACAGATGCGCATACGACTTTTCTATCCAGAATCCTAGCGGCATCCGCAGGGATGGGATGTCGTCGCCGACTTGCGAAGGAGCGAGAGGTGTGAACAAAAAACCAGTTTCAAGTCGGAAGCGTTGCTGCGCGGGCTGAAGTCGATATTCACGCGCGAAGCCAGATTCCAGTCAAAACCGCAGTGGCAAAGACAGGGCAAGACTTGGCACGGCTCAAGACTTGCCGAAACCATGACCAAGACTCGGAGATCGACTGTACTCGGAGGATACTGGACGCTTTCCAAGGGATTGGGCAAATCCTTGAGGCATTGGAAGCAGAAGACCGAGCGAGTCGCTAAGTCGGGAAGAAAGGGAGAGGGTGATCTGATTCATCTGAAAAAACCGATCCAGATCGGATTCCTTCGGATCGGCGCTTCGGCCGACAGTCGGATTTTCAACAAGCGACACTGTACGAACTTTTTTACTGAAGCATCTGGCTACGAACATTACCTTGGATGTTCCTACCTTAAAGCTCGGTATGCGTTGCCTGTGGGCTGTAATTGATCCCATCCATTGGTGTCCGTGCCAGTGTTGCGCCGCTGCGAACTTATGTAGAGGCTCTACATAAGTAGAGCTATACAGTACATGTAACTGCTTTTTTCTTTCAAAGTTGACCAGAGGAGGCCGACGATCGGACCTCGAGGCGAATACCCTAGGCCCTGAAAAAACTCTGGTATTCTAAGTTCATCGTTCTCGAGATGGATTGCATGCATCGATCTCCATCACCGATCTTGGTTTAGTGCAGTCAAAACGCAACCATGCGATCGAACTTTTATCTAGCCAACCCTAAGTCCAACCATATATATGTTGGCACTTTACTTGGCTTCAGACTCTCTGGTGCCTCTGATCGGAACCATTTCGACCCTTTGCGCTCGGACCGTTGTTCGTTCTGATATTGTTTTCTCTTCCTCGCGAAACCTGGCTCTTTCCTGCACACCAATACTCCACTGGGCTCTTGGCGCAGCTGGTAGCGCGTTCGCTTCGCATACATAATCTTTCCACCTGCCTGCGAAAGGTCGTTGGTTCCATTCCTACAGTGTCCAATTTTTTGCAGGGCTCGCGGCGATTCTGACTTTTTGAAGGTTCTATACGACTCGAATGGCCTGCGACAACTCGACTTAAGTTCGGAAAGTTAGATCATGCAATGTGTGGTCGCCGTCTCGTCTGGGGACCCGAAACCCTCCCATGTAGCGTGCAGCCTTCGCTCGGAGCTGAAGTTCGGCGCGAGCAAGTATCTATTGTGTCTTCAAACTGAACAAATGGCCGCAGCGTGAACCGAAAAGAAGTGAATTCATGCTTGGCTAATACGGTCCCGGAACGCTGTGCTATTCAAGTTTCAGATATCAGTTTCGTTGGCTGTCCGCTGTCCGTTTACTTATACAGACCATATACCCAGCGCTTGTTGCCCTGGCAATTATTTGCGCAGCGGTGCCGCGCGCGCGCCTCATTTTCCTTGGGGACTATTGAACGGGCGCCGCGTCTCACCCTTCCTACTCCCGCGCTACTTCATCCAGTTCAATGGCTTCCAATTGAAGTTCAACATGAAAAGATGGCATCAAGATCGCCGGTCACGCTTGTGACTTTCCGTGCAGGTCTCCACTCGCCATGTCGCTGGCAATTTACGCAGTCTTGGGCTGGCTCTATTTCGCGGCTGGTGCCGCCGTCTCAAACCACACAATCGACGACACAAGCCCATAGTGCAATACAACCACATCGGACCCAACGGCGAGTTGGGAATATGGGTCAGCTGTCCCTCGGACGACCCAGTTGGCGCCGGCGTATCCTGCCGCGTCGCTGGCCAAAACGTCCCCGTGTTCGACTTTACCAAACTCAAGAACGGCACCATGACCGTTTTCTGGGGCACGATCACCATCCCGTTCACCGGTGCGCCCGTCTATTCCCCCGTCTCCGAACAACACGCTTACTTATCGCGCAGGCCACTCGGTCTACGTGTTTTTCGCCAACCAGGACGACGTCAACTGCGCTATATCGCTGGACGGTGTTAGTGTCAGTCAATACAAGGCCACGGGCGGGGCATCCGGCGCCGAGTCGCAGAGTGTCCTGGGGTATCAGAACACCACGCTCGAGGATGTGGCGCACACACTCACGATCACGACCAACAACAACGCGGCGTCGGACGACAGCGTGATCGATTTCGATGCGATAATATACTCGGCGTCGCAGCAACTTTCTTTCACTCGTGCTGCACAGCTGATCGATTCGTGTAGTACCGGTGGGACCGTCTCCGCGGTTCCCGTCCAGTGGTTCCTCTACCCAAGCCGCCGCGAGCTCCTCTTCTACAGGGGGCACAACGGGCAGGTCCCTACCCACAGCCGCCCCCGCCCTCACGCCCGCGCGACACACCAAATCCCCTGTCGGCCCCGCCGTCGGGGGCGTCATCGGCGGCCTCCTCTTCCTCGCCGTGCTGCTCTTCCTCATCCACCGCGCCATTCAGCTGCGCAAACGCGCCGCCGCCGCCGCCGCCAACACCACCTTTGTGCCCATCTCGCCCATAACCCCATTCGTCCTCCCCGTCGTGGAGCCAACGTACCCCAGCGACAAGACGCCCTTCCCCCCGCCCCACTCCGAACTCACGACGTCGGATGTCGGCGTCACAACCACCAGCCCCACGTACACCAGCCCCACCGCCGCTGCCGCCACCGACACCAACCGTCGAATCGCAGCACCTCGCGAGCCGGCTCGACTTCATCGAGGCGCGTTTCCGGCAGCTCGAGCAGCTCGCGCTTTCGTCGAACCCGAACTCGAACTCGAATTCGAGCTCAACCGCCCACCTGAACCCGAACGGAGGTGAGGAGGCGACGTCCCCCCGGCCACCGTCGTATTCCGCATGACGATGATGAGTGTCTGCGGAAATTCACATGCGGGTTGGGTCTGCGGAGCGGCTGAATACATGGTCCCTCGTAGAGGTTGGCCCGTCGCCGCTGATGACCACGCAGGCGAGCACTCGGCCCTTCGTGCAGGATTTCCCTGGAACGGGTCTGATACGAACCGACTACTAGCATAACGCGACGTAGGGAGAGCGGCCGGAACGTAGGATACAGCGGTATTAAATTATTGATTAATTTGGCAGGCTATTCGATTGCGATCCCTCTGACCGACATGGTGTCTTGTCCACGCTCGGGATCGTCTTCAACTTTCTGAAATTTTACATTGATCTTGGCTCAATGTAACCTGTTCCGGAATTCCTGGTTGATGCACATATGTAGGCGTACATGGCCGCGATCGACCACGATGTATTTCGATACCGCCGAGGTTGTAAGCATCTTTACTCAGAACTGTCTTACGCCGCCGAGAATTGAGATCTTACCAATCAAGTGGAACGAACTCAAGGTTTTCGTTGGGCTTCGTTCAGTGAGTTACCTCGCTGCAGGAGGAGTTGATACATCTTCTACATCTCTCCATGTCACATTTTTTGAAGAGACCACAAATGTACAACATTTATGCCGATTAATGGCGTCACCGGCGCCTGATGATCTCTTGTTGAGTTGGTGAGATCAGAGCCCGCCGAGGTTCTCACTCGCATCCAGCAATCTCCATAATCAATGACCGGAAGGCAGTAAGCAGAATTGACCTGCATCGACTTCCTTGGCGCTGACACTCGTCGATCCCTCTTCTTTCAAAGCAAGCGCGGATGGATATAAATTCTGACGGACGAAAGGTACACCATTTCCTTCCCTCGAGATGCTTCTCCGTTCTTCTCTCTCCCTTCTCGGGCTGTCTCTCCTCTCCACCGTTCTGGGAAAACCGGGCCACTCGTCACTACGTCCTCGGGCTCCTACCTCGGCGTGCACGACGCGCAAAACGAGGTCGAGGTATTCAAGGGCATCCGTTTCGCGTCCCGCCCCGCTCGTTTCACCGGCTACACCTGTCTCGAACCCACCGGCGTACGCAAAGCGCCGCCGCGTTCGGTGCAGACTGTCCCCAGCTGCCCACTCTCCTCGGCGCGCGGGCGTCCCAGCCGGCCCCCCGTTGGGGGCGAACCAAAGCGAAGATTGCCTTTTGTCAACGTGGGTGCTCTTCCGGCTGCTGCAGCCTACGCCGCATCTGATCTGAAATTCCGCTTCAGGTCTGGCGGCCTGAAGGCACGTCTGCGAAGGAAGGCTGCCGGTTCTGGTTCACATCTATGTGCGCGCATCCGTTTATCAAATTTTGGATCTGCGGCTCTTTCTGATGAAGTTTCAGGGCGGTGGCTACTTCGCTGGTGCGGGATCCGAGTGGGATGGTACAAGTCTTGTACGCCGGAGTGTTGCGACCGATAAGCAATCATCTGGATAACATTCAACTATCGCATTGGAGTCCTTGGATTCGTGAGTCCCACTTCGACTGCGTACTCAGAGACGACTGATTTATGTTTATTCAGCTCGGCAGCGCACAAGCACCACTCGAGGCTCTGAACGTTGGACTCCAAGATCAGCGCGACGCTCTTCGATGGATCCAAGACAATGCCCACGCTTTCGGGGGCGATGGGTCGCGCATCACCATCTCGGGGTGAATCTGCCGGTATGTCAAGTTCTCGTCCCACGCCTTCCTACCAGTGTTCACTATTCCTGCGTAGGGGAAGCAGTGTCCACATGCACTATCTCTACCCCGACTCCCGGCGGACCTTCCGTGCGGGAATATCCAGCTCTGGTACCTCGCTCGTCCTCAACACCCCCGCGTGCGAGTGGCACGATCGCCCAGGCGGCGCGTACGATATCTTGGGGAACGTCACGAGGTGCGGCACCGGGGCGGGATCGTTCGCGTGTCTGAGAGACCTACCGTTTGATGTACGTTGATCGAAAGGCCTGTGAATCGAGGCGGGCCGTTATTCTAATCTAACCCGGACTGCGTACGACAGACATTTTGGCCCTTGGCATTGTCGACATACAGCCCGCCCGGTGGCGGGTTTCCGCCGTGGGGAGTGACTTGCAAAGGTCCTAAAGGCTCCTTGATCGACGAGTACCCCGCCAAGAAAGTCGTCCACGGCGACTTTCTGCACGCGCCAATTATTACTGGTACGACCGGAATGAAGGCAATTAGTACGTTCTTCTCTCTACTGCAATATCTTTTCAACCTGCTCAACTATTTGTTTTTCAGTTTGATTGGCACGACATTCATCGATATCACGCCTCAACCGCCCATTGACCTTGAAAACTCCCTTCTGAGCGGCTTCATCGCAGGTCAGGCAACTAATAGCGAAACTGTGTCTCAAGACACTCTCGCCAAACTCCTCGCCCTCTACGCCCACCCGACGGACAACTTGTCGAATAGTTCGCTGTCCAATCGCGCTTCGCAATTCGAGACAGATTACGCGATGTTGGCTCCCCAGCGGCTGTTCCTCAAGACCGCATCGGCCGCGCACCGGAAGCAAGATGTGTGGGCATATTCGTTCGAGCAGCATCTTCCCGGCGCGCCAGATTTCTTCGGGGGTGAGCGTCTTGACTTCAATTGTCTTCCCTTCCCCGCATTGATTTCGTCATCCTTGAACAGCATTCCACACGTCCGATCTCTACTACCTCGATATCGGGTTCCCCCCAGTCACCTCTCCATCACTGCAATCACAGATGCAAGATTTCTACATCTCTTTCGTGAATGACCTCAATCCCGGAATGTTCTGGCCGAAGTATGACGAGAAGTCGCCCGTTGCGCTGCGGCTCCAGGAGGGGAACGTTGGCCCCATTGCGGACACGCTCCGGCGAGAGCAGACGGATTTCCTCAATCAGGTTGATGTGCTGGAGGAATTCGGGCGCTTTGGTTGAGATCCGGTGTTTCAGTGACAGCCCTCTTCTTCTTTTATTTAATACGTACCTTACTTTCGCAGTGCTGTCTGGAATTTACCGATATTAACTGCTCGTCCACGGTAAACAAGTAGCAAAAATTTAACCGCAAGCCAACGCTGTCACATACCACGATGTTACAGATTTTCAGAGCTTTCAAGAGAGCAGAGGACGAGAGGGCCGCCAAGCCAGTAGTAGTACAAAACCAGAGAACGAAACAGTGGTTTCGGCGGCAATGGCGGTCAGAGCAAAGTCTGAATACGCCC